TTAAATCTTAATATTTTTCGAAAATATTTTGGTGGACATCTTAAAATATAATAGATTTTATAGTGCCGGTGGAAAAACAGTACCAGTTTTTTTTTTATATGGGGAGTGATGCAGTCTAATGTGCATATGTATGTAGGTAGTATGTATGTATATTCACAAAAGTGAAATCCCAAACAGTTGAGCGACGATTCATTCATAAAATGTTCGGGTAACAAAGGCGTGTAATTTTTTCTAACTGTCGCTATATTCCTGAACACAACGCTTTTTCTTATCACAAACTTGGGCTTGACATTGATTTTTATTCTCGTATTGAATCACTTGCTTCTGGGTTATATAAAAGCTGTAGATTTCTTGAAAGTCAATCATACATTTCACTACCTTCGTTACATTCGCTTTGTTTACAATGAATGCAAATTTTATTGCAGTCTTTGTGGTCTTCCTGCTCGTCACTGCTCCAGGATTCACGCAGGCTGATTGGTTGGACGACCTCAACGAGGGAACTGTGAGTTGCTTTAAATGTGCTCATATATTACGTACATATATATGTAAATGCATATATACTAATTTCAATGTTATCTTTTTAGAGGCAGATTCTTTCTACGGTCAACGAAGATTCGGAAAAAATAACACCTTTGCAACAAATGTCAATATTATCGGAAATGTATTAAAAAATCTCGATCCAGACTCCAAAGAGGAATAACGATGGACTTTAATTTTTTTCATATAAGACTTTATTTAATATGTATCTAATTATAATTTTTAATAAGAGGTACATGAACATTTACTTAAAATTACCTACACAATAAAGTTATATGTTTACGCACTTATCTAAGTAATGTCTGCTTTTAAATTTGCTAAATTTTGGAGTAAAATTACGGGTTTATAATAACCGCCTCCAGGAAATTTTTACACAATACGCATGAAGCATAATATAACGAGCGAATCAGCACATTTTGTCCGTTTTCTGAGTTGTGATATTCTTTAGGTAATAAGCGATGTGACCCGGTTTTAAATTGTAATATATTATTAAATATTTAATTTTGAAAGCTGCAAATCTCTTTTGGATTTTTGTCTTTTACTAATCAGAATAATTAAATTACGACCATATTTTATCAAGTTACAATTAAAAAAGTTGTGAGCGAAGCTTGATTTTGTTCTGTTTTTAGGAGGTTTCAGTTACGGAATAACATACATTTTTTATTTTTTCTAAAAATATATTAAAGGAGATACCAAAAAAGTCATATTGTGAATTTTCACAGCTTTAAAACATAATTGGTTGTGGTTTCAAGTCCTCAAAACCAGGGTTTCGGAGCAAAGGTTTTGTTTTCTTTGCTCCGCTCTTTTTTATACTCGAGCCCACTTGTGCACAAGGGTATATTAACTTTGTTCACATGACGGTTGTTTGTAACAGCCAAATGCTCAGAATGAATAGAGAAGTCGATTAAGCCATGTCTGTCTGTCTGTCCGTCCGTCCGTGTACACGATAACTCGAGCAAAAATTGAGATATCTTAACGAAATTTGGTGTGTAGGTTTCCATTTATCCAAGGTAGGTTGGTACTGAAAACCCACGGACTGAACCCACGCCCACTTCCCATATAACGGTAAATTTCAGAAATACGAAAACTGCGATATTTTAGTAACTACTGAAGATTATTCACTCAAAATTGTAATTTACAATAAATTTTTGACGAAAAATAAGAATATTATAAATTTTTGGAAAATGGGTAGTAGTCTTTTTGATGTAGAAATGCAAAGATGCTCTAGGAGCACTTCAAAGAAAGTTTTAAAAAAATGTCGCTTGTTTTTTTTGCGGTTAGAGCTCGATATACAAATGTACATAGTATGTATGTAAGTACTAATATGGATTCACATGCACATCTATGGTCCTCTGCAATAACGATACAATTCAAAATTCCAAAAACCAAATCCCATACTATTTTTAAGTGGCTCATCCTTACTAGAGTAAGTATGTGCAAAGATTATGTATGGCTTACACAAGGATAACGGACAGTAACAGTAGTAAGACCTTTTATTTTTTGAATTTTGATTTGTGCCGTTATTGCAGTGGACCTTCGATATATTCATATGTACAGTCGACTGTGTCAATTAAATACAATTTTTCAAATTAAAAGAACCGCTATTTAAATTCGTAGTTTTCCCAAAACCCATATCGGATAACACAAATCTAATACTCATGTCGCAATCTTACTCTTTACAGACTAATAGCTGAGCGTCGCGTTATTTCATTAAAACAAGTAAGAGCAGCGCTGTCTTCGGCTATGCCGAAGGCTTCATACCTTTCATGAACATCTGCAAATTTTACTTTGACAGATTACTGCTTTTGAATACATCTGCATACATCGATAGAGGAGTTACATACTTATATAAAAAATCGCATCTAAACAATCAGAGGTATGGAAGATATACTTTATATGGCACCAATCTAAGTGATTTTCACTGCTATGTGATCGGTATGTAAACCGGTAACACAATTTATTGGGTTTAGTTTCCTACATAAAGGAGATATATGGCAAAAACTGGTATCTGAACAATCAGTGCTATAGGAGATAAAGCTTATACAGCATAGATTTTGATGATTTTCTCAGTAGACTTTGTATTATTATTTATAAAATATCTTACGAAATTTATCGGTTTTAGCTATTCAAATAAAGGAGTTTTACCGTAAAATCCCATATCTGAACAATCAGATGTATGGAAGATATATGTTGTAGTCATCCGATCCTTGTTATTTTCACTGTAAGTATTCTGTAAATAATGAGTGAAAGTGGTGCGAAATTTCATGTTCCTAGCTGCATAAATGGAGGAGTTATGATAAAAGACCTCATATCTGAACAATCAGTTGTATGGGGTCTGCAGGTTATAGTGACCCGACCTTTGTTATTTTCACTGTAAGTCTTCTGTTGATAATGACTGAAAACAGCGCGAAATTTCATGGTCCTAGCTACATAAATGGATGAATTATAACGAAAAATCTCATATCTGAACAATCAGTTGTATGGGAGCTATAGGTTATAGTTACCCGATCTTTTTAATTTTCACTGTAAGTTTTCTGTTGATAACTATTGAAAACAGTGCGGAATTTCATGTTCCTAGCGATATAAATGGAGGAGTTATAACGAAAAATTTTATATCTGAACAATCAGTTGTATGGGGTCTATAGGTTATAGTGACCCGATCTTTGTAATTTTCACTGTAAGTATTCTGTTGATAATGGGTGCAAGTACTGCAAAATTTCATGTTCGTAGCTGCATAAATGGAGAAGTTACAACGAAAAATCCCATATCTGAACAATCAGTTGTATGGGAGCTATAGGTTATAGTGACCCGATCTTTGTAATTTTCACTGTAAGCATTCTGTTGATAATGGGTGCAAGTGCTGCGAAATTTCATGTTCGTAGCTGCGTAAATGGAGAAGTTATAACGAAAAATCTCATATCTGAACAATCAGTTGTATGGGAGCTATATGTTATAGTGGTCCGATTCTTCCGGTTCCGACAAATGATTAATACATTATAAAAATACACGCACCTACCAAATTTGATCCGGATATCTCGAAAACTGAGAGACTAGATTGCATACAAACAGACAGACAGACGGACAGACGGACAGACGGACAGACGGACAGACGGACAGAC